GCCATTTTTTTCCCCTTTTCCGGCGGGTGCCTTACCTCCCTTGGGCTGGGCCAGCTGGTGGTCGGCCTGCTCCGTCTCTGCCGCTTGCCAGCTACGCCTCGGCCGGCGCAGGGGGCGGAACCACGCATGCGCGGCGCTCCCGGGCAGGGAAAGTCCTCGACTTACGACCGGTTGGGTAGTCCTCGACTTACGACCGGTTGGGTAGTCCTCGACTTACGACCGGTTTAGTCCTCGACTTACGACCGGTTTAGTCCTCGACTTACGACTGGTTGGGGTCGCGGCATTAAAAAGGTTGAGAACCACTGGTGTGGAGAGAAATGAACTTGTTGTTACCACTGATAAGGTATCTGTTATTTTTCGGTAAACTGAACTAATGCTGAACAAATTAGATAAAGCTGGTTTGGTTTGGTTCGTTTTGAAATGCTAGTGCTGGTAAGTTTCATAGTTTATGCTGCTCTCTAGCAATTGAAGAGATATGTTTTGATTTCTGTTTTCTGATGTAACTCTATAGAACAATAAATTATATGCAACGCCATAAAATGGAATGGGAACTAATATAAGAGTTGACAGTTAAAGCATGAGAAAGATTGGGCAATTCTAAAATTAAGTCCTCTCTTTCCCTTCCCCCCAGCATGGAAGCTTTCTGGTATCAGAGTAACCATGTTCTCTGTCCAATCAACCACATAGTTTTGTTGTTGTGGGGAGTAAATTGGAGGAGGAGGAGCTATCTGCACCAGCAGGGTGGAAAAACATTATTATTAAATATATAATAAAAGGATCTGTTTTCTGGGGCTTAAGATCGGGAAATGAAAAAAGGAAGTGAAGACACAAGTGGAAGAGGAAATTAAAGGAAAAGTAAAAAAAATTGGAAAGAATGTTCATTATTAAAGGCTAACTTTTATTGAACGCTATATCGCTGTCCTGCAGAATTTATGAATGGACAAGCAGTATCTGTGTTTTCCTGTAAAGATATAATGTTGCACTATCAAACTAAAGCATTTTTGCTATCCAAGTATTAAATGAAGATAATCTCAAATGAAAGAATGGAAATGCAATAATGGGAGAGTATCTTAGACCAGTGGTGGCGAACCTATGGCACACGTGCCAGAGGTGGCACTCGGAGCCCTCTCTGTGGGCACGCATGCCATGCCCTGGAGATGGCAACCATCCTCTTCAACCAGCCACCCGCTAACTCGCCAAGGTCCCACGTGGCCAGATGCATCCCAGCATCCATGCGCTCGCTGGCCTCTGTTTCCGGGGGCCGATGGTGTCAGGCAGCAGCCGCCCCTGCCTCGCCTCGCCTTGCCCTGCGACATGGCACCCCCGCCTTGTCTTGCCTCACCCTGCAGAACCAACCTCCTGCCCACCACCCCACCCACCAGAGACCCCTGGATCTCCCCCAACCCTGCCCGGACCCCACAGGCATCCCTCCCCAGGAGCAACATCGAGCTGGCCACGCCCACCCTTGCCACACCCACCCATCTGCCATGACCACTGTAACCACACCCACCCAGCGGCCATGCCCACCTGGCACCCAGCAATACATAAATGGGTTTTGGGTTTTGGGCACTCGGTCTCTAAAAGGTTCGCCACCACTGTCTTAGACTATCAAATATTTTGCTAGAAAGCAAGATCTGCATTCTTGCACATTTGTAAAATGGCCTTCATCAAGTTGTTGCCCTTCAGAAGAAAGGAGAGAGAAAAGAGTAAAGGAGGGGAGAAGGAAGTAGGAAGGTTGGAGGAGAAGAGGAGAAGTGGGGAGAAAGGGGAGGAGAGTGGTGAAGGAAAGAGAAGAGGAGAGGAAGAAGAGGGAAGTAGGGAAGAAAGAAGAAAGGGAGAAAGAAGGTAGAGAAGAAGGAGTGTGGATACCGTGAAAAGGGAAATGGGCGAGCAACACCAAAAGTCATGTGTATGTATTTATTTCATTTTATTAAAAGTATCTTATATATAAGAATGTAAAAAGAATGTATGTTAACATCTGATAAATATCACGGTACATGTATGGGGGAGAGTTTGGAAAAATAAAAAAAAATAAAAAAATAAAATAAAAGTTGTTGCGCTTCAGAAGCATTGGGATTTAAAACTCCTCAGCCAGCCTTGAATCCAGAACTAAGGGTTTCAAATACAGGGCTCAGGTAAAGGTTGTCCAGGAAACAGCCATAATACGGACAGCAGAAAGAGAAGAATTTGAGATAATAATAAAGTACTTTAAGTGCATGCATCAGAGTTATAATAGCAGGAATTGGATGTAGGGAAATCTTTCTAGTAGAGAATTAAGATATTGCTAGCAATTATGACAAAGTTCAATCATCTTTTCAAGAGCCATCTCCCGTGTCACGCTGTCTCTCCGTGCCTGTCTGCCTTTTCGCAAAGGAGCACAGTATTCCTTAAATCCACTTTGGAGACTCCACTCTCAAGAGTCAAAGAACAAGAAACCCTTCAATAAACATAGCTGGGCTGTACAATGTTTTGTTATATTTCACTGGCTTTTTAACGAGGCTTAAGCTTTCTCCTTAGAGAGTTACTGTTTTGAAGCAAGTTGCCCCCCCTGAGGATGTGATTGAGAATCAGTGTATTTTCCTTGGCTTGTTTGCGTCTATGCATCTCCTTTGGTGGGTTTTGGAAAAAAAACCAAAAAAAACCTGTGTTGTTGCTCAAAAGAAATGTCTCTATGTGCAAATATTTTATTTGTACACAGTTTTGCAGCTGAGTCAGAACAATCTGACTTGTCAAAAGCTTGGAAGTACTTTGACTCTGGCGGTTTTCTCTTTAGCAGAAATTAGATCTTCCATTCATTAATTATACTGGCACCAAGGCACTGTTCAAGTCCTAAAATTAAAGATTTTTCTTTAAGCGTCAGTGGCCAATTCAGCATTTTGTCGTCTTACGTGTGGATTCCTGTGGCTAAAGTCATCTTTCTCACCTCACTTTTGGCCTGTCAAAATTAACAACATTGACTGGCAAATTTACTGGTTTTCAGGGTATGACGTTGGATTTCTTCTGCATACATGAGTGGAAAAAATAGAAAGTCTCTTGGAGGCATAATAGATCCATTTTTATCTTTGAAACCCCACCTCCGCTCCCCTGATGCTTATAAATCAAGTTGTACTATCAAATTTGACTGGTCTTCTTCAGTATCTAGATCAAGCTTTAAATTGCCAAACTTTAAATCAAACTTTAAATTGTCTTGGCTTTGTCGTTGACCAAAAATAAAGTCCTTATCGGTAAACGTTTCTGGTGGCGGCTGGCATACCAGTAGATGGGCTGGGCTCTGCGCCTCTCCACATTCACAGCGTGTTGTTATCTGCTAAGAGCCTCATATAGATTTTACACATAGGCACTCCAACCCTCAACCTATTCAGGATCCTCCCAAATAGTATAAGGGAGATCCTTCAGTCATATCCTCCTTTAATGTTATTCCATGCTCAATGGTCTCCTTCCTCAATTTGACTGGTTTGGCATCTTAATTTTATCTGCATGAGTTGTAGTCATAGGTGGGTTTTAATTGTCTTTATCCCTGGAAGTTCTATGGGGGGCTTTGGGTCCCCCCCCATAGCTATGCTTTTTGTATCCAGCCTTTACAAGCCCAGCATTTGGGGGAAAAGATTATCAGTTGATTATGATCGTTTCTCAGAAGCTTCCTGTTTTATGTTTAAAAGACAAAAAAAAAAAAGATGGCATTGCGTCCATCTGTGATGTTACTCCTCTCCTTTGATACCATCTGCAGCCTTGCATTGTGCCCGCTATTCCTCAGAAAGTTTCCCACTTCTGGTCTAAGATACAGGTTGTTAAAAAGCTATAAGGGTCAGATTTATCCGTTATATTAAGGTGTACATCATGACGCCATGATGCACTAAGCCAAAGCTCCACCAGCTACATTGTGACTTCATGTGAATCTGACTTATTATTCTGACATACTAAATGATTGGTCCTTCCTGACAACCTAGGTAACTAGGAACCATTGTGCTGCATCACGGTCAACCCAAGATACTCCTCCATGGCAGTCAGCATGTTGATATCCCATCTCAGTAGTGGTTAGATAGCTGTGGTGGATGTAACTGGCTGTTAAATCTCCTGGAATTTTGCAAGCCGGTTGAGAGCAAAGCTGAGCTATGCTGACTGGCATGCCAATCAGATATTCTTTGACCGGTGATAGGGTGGCAGCAGTGGAGCCAGATCCTAAACATTTACCTCTAGTAGATAGACACACATTCCAGACTGGAAGAACTAAAGATAGTAAACTGGTCGGCCATTTCTCCCCACTATGTATAGCAGTGGTTCTCAACCTTTTTAATGCCGCGACCCCAACCGGTCATAAGTTGAGGACTAAACCGGTCGTAAGTCGAGGACTAAACCAGTCATAAGTCGAGGACTACCCAACCGGTCGTAAGTCGAGGACTTTCCCTGCCCGGGAGCACCACGCATGCGTGGTTCCGCCCCCTGCGCCGGCCGAGGCGTAGCAGGTCGACCACCAGCTGGGCCAGCCCAAGGGAGGTAAGGAATCTGCCGGAAAAGGGGGAAAAAATGGCGGGCAAAAAAAATGGCGGACAGCCTTGCTTGGCGACCTCCATGAAATGGTCGATCGACCCCAAATGGGGTCCCGACCCACAGGTTGAGAACCACTGATGTATAGGGTTTTTTTTAATGTGTGTGTATGTTCCAATGAATGAAGTCATTTGTTGTTGCTTTGACCCACCCATCCATTCTCTCACATCTGTTATTATCCAAAAAGAGGTTTTACCTGTACAGCCATTCATTTTACAAAGTGTGGATTAGTATTGTGTGGTGAATTATTTTACTGAGCTTTCTCAGTCCTCTCTCACTCTACAGTTTCTGTATAGCCTCATTCAAGCTGAAGCATGTTGGCACGTGAATGCAGATGGGATCCATTGCCTGTGCATCCCTCAGGCCGGCCACCACGCTGGGTCGCGTGCTGAAACTTTTCTTATCCTCTCCCCTCCCTCTCTAGAGCAAATAGGAAGAAACCGGTGTGGAAGGAAGTTACCAAGAATGCTACCTACCTGCCATTGGACTGGATGAATTGGCATCTGAAGAAAGACAGGCCTGGATTTTGGTTTGCCCGAAAACTGGAGCTCGTGTGTTCAGTGTCCTTTGATTATGTCAATCCATTCTGTGGGAAATACTCTAATGCACAGTACTGTAACCCAGGCTGACTTTTACAGCCAAGGTCACATTGTAGGGAATTCTATAAAAGTTGCTCCCTCCAGAAAATTATTTCTGAGCGTTTGCCTTCACTCACTGCTTGAAACAGAGCCAGACTGCGTAGCGACCATAACTTCAAGGGCTGGAAGTTAACCCCAAAAGGTGTTGCTATGGGATGATCCTTTGTTTAGGATAAAAAACCCCAGACTCTTTGGTTACTTTTAAAGTTGGACTCTTAACAGCGTTGACTTTGGTGTTCCGTTTTGAGAGCGCGCTGACTGTGAATGCTCCCATACACAACACCTGTGTGGCCTGAAGTGATGGAAACCATGCCTTGAGAGTAGCTGCAACGAACGCATAGCCATGACGGAACCCCACCGGGTCCAACTCACCTCCTTGTCAGGCCCACTCACTACCACTTTGCTGAAAAAACCTCGGTGGGAGGATGTCGCCAACCCAGAGCATCCTCCAGAATCTGAACCTGCAGCTGCAGCCGTCCGCATCGCCCTCTCCCTTTTTGAGCCAGATCACAAGCGCTGCCCGGAATTCTTTTACCCAGAACTGCTGAAGATGACGCGAGGCAAAGCGAAAAGCAATTCTGCGGGAGAAAAGGTAAGCAGGACTTTTTTTCCTTTCCCTTTCCTTCCCTTTCCCTTTCACTTCTCTTTCCTTTCTTTTCCCCTTTCTTTCCCTTTCCCCTTTCTTTCCCTTTCCTTTTTAATGTGCACCTTAACAATCTGTAACAGCAACTACAGTAATAAATGTGTATGCTGTCTCAGATCTAAGCATTTCCACCATGCCGTGCTGACATCTCTGTAACCTTAATAAATGCTTTTAGGAAAATTATGCCTGAACGTCCTTTTAGGTGTTTCGTTAATCAGACACATGACATCTGCTGCCCAACTCTCAGAGCTTTGGGTAGCTGGCACAATTAATAAAAGATGGCCCACACAATGAAGTGAATGGTTTCCAGGGGCCTGGGTGAAAATCCATGAGAAAAATTCAACAAACTGATTGGTTTATGTTATTTGGGACTTGTGGTAAGGGTGGTAGGGGGAGAATAGGTTGTTGCAAAGACAGAACTTTGGTTTTTTTTTTTTTTTTTTAAAGGAAGATTAAAAACTAATATAAACTACTATGAAGTAAGCGAAAAGCATCAGAGAGAAAGCTAAATGGGAGGGGGGACAGAAACAAAAAGAAAATATCAAGAAGCCGCTTCCAATCTTCTTTACAGCAGTTAAAAGTACAATTCTAGTGCAATCACAGGTAGTCCTCATCTTACAACTGTTCATTTAGTGATCCAAGTTACAATGGCAATGAAACAAGAGTTTTTCACACTTATGGCTGTTGCGGTTTGCAACTTTCTGACGAGCAGTGAGGAAGCCAGATCCACTTAACCACCCTGCTACTAACTTTAACAACTGCACTGATTCACTTAACAACTGTGGCCAGAAAAGTCATAAAATGGGGCAAAGCTCACTTAACAAATGTCTCACTTAGCAACAGAAATTTTGGGTTCAACTGTGGCTGTAAGTTGAAGACTACCGTACTCTATATTCTAGCCTAGGTGTGTCCGGACCATGGGGCCACTTGTGGTCCTGGACAGCTAATCATGCAGCCTCACAAGATCGTAAATATAAAAAAAATTAAAAGAAGTTTGCTAAGTATGTACCTAACTACAGTATATTGGAGACTTGATATGTGGCCCAAGACAGTTCCTCTTCACTCAGTGCGTCCCAGGCAAGCCAAAAGGTTGGACCCCCATGATCTAGCACAGGGGTAGGCAACCTTGGCTCTTTTATGACTGGTGGACTTCAACTCCCAGAATTCCTGAGCCACCCATGCTGAGGGGAAAGGGAGAGGTTTCCAAGCTGAGCCATGCTGGCTCAGGAATTCTGGGAGTTGAAGTCCACAAGTCGTAAAAGAGCCAAGGTTGCCTACCCCTGATCTAGCATGTCTAATTATCAAAAATTATAAACCAGAACATTCATTTTCCCCCCCTGTTTTATACAAAAAGTCTCTAAGGGATTTTCAGCCAGCAGTATAGAAATTGGCTCTTGTCTGATCAAAGAAGTCAATGTAGCCATCTTGGCAAGTTCCATCTTCTCCAGCCATTCCTCAAAGCAGCCCCTTTGCAAAGAGTTCTCGAACGTCACATTACAGGACTTCTCTGTTGATTCATAACCTTGGCTCTTTTATGACGTGTGGACTTCAATTCCCAGAATTCCTGAGCCAGCTAAGCTGGCTCAGGAATTCTGGGAGTTGAAGTCCACGAGTCATAAAAGAGCCAAGGTTGCCTACCCCTGATTCATAGTATAAGTGACCTCTCTGTGAAACCATGCGACATGCTCTCTTTTCTCCTTTTTTTTCACAATCTCCTTTTCCTGCAGAAAAAAGACTTTGCTGACCCCTTCAATGATGAAGAAAAGGAGAAGCACAAAGCAGAAGCCCTTACCAGGAAGTTTGAAGAGAAATATGTACGCTTCTCTGTCCCCTCTACGTTCCAGTTAAACCTTGGTTCTAGTATTCTCCATAAAAAGTTCTGTCAAAAACATACAGCTACGTTTCATTCCAGGCTTCCTGTATTGGGAGTGTAAACTGAGTGGACCATGGTAGGTCCACTCTGTTTAACAATTTATTTGGGGGGACAGATTTCCAGTCTGGAATATTTTCCTATCGATGTTTATTTAAAACCCACAGAGAAAATGGTCAGCTGTGCCAGTGAGCTGTCTGAAGATTCATTTTCTAAAATATTAGAGAGGCCTTTTTGCAAGCTTTCTTTAATTTTTCTAAAACCTGGTGTGAGTGTTGGGTTTTCCATCAGGTTCATCTTAACGTTCACATTCAGGTAATTAGCTGAAGCTTCAGAATCACAATGCTTTTTAAAAATGAGAAATAACGTTTCTCTTGCCACCTCATACACACACAGATGAAGAAGATCCACTTAGTGTAGAGAATCAGAGAATCCAGCTACTAGTCCCTTGGTTTAAATCTAGATCAGTGGTGGCGAACCTATGGCACGTGTGCCAGAGGTGGCACTCAGAGCCCTCCCTGATGGCACGCGCACCACCACTGCCAGCAGCAGGCCGCCACGGCCACCCGGAGCAGGAGCCCCGCCCAGCACAAAGGAGGCGAAGCAGCCGACTAGCAAGCTTGAGTAGAGGTGGTAGAGCAGAGGTCACCAACCATTGTCGATTGGTGGACTGGAAGAAAAGGGAGGGGGAACCATTTTACATGCGTGCACAGGGCCGCGAGCATGCACACGCTGCAAATGGGGCGGGGCTAGTGCCTGCGTGATACTAGCCCTGCCCCGTTCTTACGTGGTGCAGCGCCTTGTATCTGCACCCCACGGTGCGGTGGTGGCCGTTTTTGTGCCTTGCAGCATGGTGGCCCATTTTTGTGCCCCTGTTTTTTGCGTGGCAAAGGCGGCACTCAGAGGCGCCTCCCTTCCCCCCCCCCGAGGGCACTTTGATGCAGCCCTGGCACTTTGCGATAAATAAGTGGGTTTTGGGTTGCAGTTTGGGCACTCAGTCTCTAAAAGGTTTGCCATCACTGATCTAGATTTTTAAAAATTCTCTTTCAAACTTAATAACTTTTGCTGGTTCTCTTCCTGACCTTGATTATCAAAGGTATCATTCCCTGTTTATGAGCTGATTCTATTTAACCTGAGAACTGTGTCTTCCTGTCTTTCTAACTTCAACTCTTGCTGTGTTGTGGTAATTCCAGAACATGCCAGGAAATATGCTGTTTCTATGTAAAGAACTCTATAAATGGCTTTTTCCCCCCCCAGAAGCTAAAGAGAAGTACAAGCTATCATTTGGCCACCTCATATTTTAGAAAGTAAACACAACTCTCATCTTCCACCCCCATGGATTTTTCTGTGATGGACTGTTGCTAGCTGATGTTTTATTTTTGTTAGCATTCAAGATTTTTCATAATCGTGTTGTTGTAGAATCCAGTTCCACACTCCAGATTTAAGCATTAGCAGGAGATTCTGAGGTGGTATGTTTTTGGAGGACGTGCAGTTTTTCTTGCAAGTAATTCTGGATCAACACCAGTGTTTTCTGTTTTCAGGGTGGGAAGAAGCGCCGGAAAGACCGTTTTCAGGATTTGATTGACATGGGGCAAGGATATGATGAATCAGATTCTTTCATTGATAATTCTGAAGCCGTAAGTAGCAAACAGAAGTCTCTTCTTTCCCCAACTGTAAAGTTACAGGAGAGCTAACAGAACCATCTAACAGAGGAATACGGGGCATTCTAGATACTGCTTGTATTTTAACGTTGCATTTTTCTGGGAATGGATAGTGCAGTAACAGTTCAAGGATCACAGCTACATTCCTTTACTAGTTTGCACAAAAAAACCCACAGAAGGCATCTGGGTTCTTCTCTCATTACATAACATTTCCTTACTTTTTTTTATTCTGGCCCACATTTACGGCTGTTTGCAGCATCCCGCACTTAATGTGACTGAGATTGATGATTTTTTTTTCTCCAGAATCCAGTGTTTACTTTTGTGATTTCCAGCAAAAAATGCCCATTGAGTACAATGGGTTCGCTTAACAACTGTGGCATTCATTTAATGACCACGGTGTGCACTTAATCTCCACCAAGTAGTTTTAAAATTGCATGCAACCACATGACAATCCACTTAATCACCATCACAATTTACAACCATTATTCCGGGCTCAATTATGGTCATTAGTCAAGGACTAATTGTACTCTATATATTTCCTGAATTCGAAATTATAAAAACTGCACTGATCCAAGCAACTGTTGGTTTCCTGCCATGGATTATAGAAGGTTTCTGAAATCTGTTTCTTTATTAGAATGTCTGGATCCGGGAACTGGAGCCAGACTAGAAGTTGAAATTAAAGAATAAAATGCTTGTATTGTTTGAGCATTCATTCAAATGTGGAGCAGCAGCCAGATAGAATTTGCTGGTCTTTTACAACAAATCCCAACCTGGAGGTTCTCCAAGGTATTTTCATTTCAGCAGCCTAAATAAGAAAGTGCTGTAATTTTGCTTCCACTGATGAACAAGTTAGGCTTAGAATCTTTTCCTGATCTACAACGGATCTCTCAGATTCATTAGTAGGCATGATAAAAGAAAACCCCAGGATCTACATTAATTTCCTTTGTTTCCTTTCCAGTGTTAACTAGCAAATTAGATTTTATTACTGAATATAAACACACATTGGATGCTGAAAGGTATTGCAGCAAAGCAAAAGTGGCCAGGTCAGAAAAATACCTGGATTCTTAAGACATTGCAGACAGAATTCCAATGATGCTCTACTTTATTATTTATTATTTATCATATTTATATGGCCACCTATCACAGTCACGTGACTCTGGTAGTTAGGAAAGGATAGAGGTGAGGAAGGAAAACCTCAGTTTTGCTGAATATATTGATGGTCATTGTTGTTGCTAGTTGCGAAGTCGTGTCCGACCCATCGCGACCCCATGGACAACGTTCCTCCAGGCCTTCCTGTCCTCTACCATCTTCTGGAGTCCCTTTAAGCTCACGCCTGCTGCTTCAGTGACTCCATCCAGCCACTTCCTTCTCTGTCGTCCCCTTCTTCTCTTGCCCTCAATCTTTCCCAGCATTAGGCTCTTCCCCAGTGAGTCCTTCCTTCTCATTAGGTGGCCAAAGTACTTGAGTTTCAACTTCAGGATCTGGCCTTCTAAAGAGCAGTCAGGGTTGATCTCCTGTAGGACTGACCGGTTTGATCGCCTTGCAGTCCAGGGGACTCGCAGGAGTCTTCTCCAGCACCATAGTTCAAAGGCCTCAATTCTTTGGCGCTCAGCCTTTCTTATGGTCCAACTTTCACAGCCATACATTGCAACTGGGAAAATTGATGGTCACATATGATGCTTTTTCATGCCTGCGATGTCACATCTGCTCATGGGAAATTGGCCCATGAAGCCCTGTTGGGATTGTAAGCACCACTTCGGTAAGAAGTATAAATCAAGACTGTTGACTAATATGCCTCTTTGTACCCTTTTCAGTATGATGAGCTTGTCCCAGCGTCTCTAACAACCAAGTATGGAGGCTTCTACATCAACTCTGGAACTCTGCAGTTCCGACAGGCTTCCGAATCGGAGGATGACTATATCAAGGAGAAAAAGAAGAAGTCTCCGAAGGTCTGTGATGCACATGCTCTGGGAACTTCTGTTTCAGGAATGGCCTTTCATTTGCTGCAGTTGTGTTTCTGATTGTAAAATCTGTAAAACTGGGAGGCACCGTGGCATCCTCAGTGAAAATAAGTGAAAGTAAACAGAGTACAGAGTACAACATCGAGGTCCAAAAGTTCATTCATACTCTGTGAACAAACAAGTAGTTGTAGCAATTTCTGCCTGCTGTTACTTGTAATCTCAACAGCACCGAGGACTCTCGTGACTGGGAGATTATAGCAGTTGAGATCACGTCAGTTCTTAGCTGGCTGACAGATTTTTTTTTCTTTCTGAAAGGACAAGGTGTACCTGTTTCTGGCCAGTAATCCATTTGTCGTGTAGTTTCATTGGAGTTGGGTGCTGGGAGAGATAGAATTCTTTCTTCTCTTGTCCTCTTTGTCTTCTGTCCTGACTTTAGGGCAGGGGTGTCAACCTTGGCAACTTTAAGATCTGTGGACTTCAACTCCCAGAATTCCCCAGCCAGCTCCAGATACCCCTGCTTTAGGCCAAGCCTTTTCAACCAGTGGTATGGGTACACCTGTGGTACATTGGCACCTGGCAGGTGGTACGTGGCCATCCTAGAAAAGTAGCGGGGGAGGAGAATGAGCTGAACCGGTGGCAGCACCGCACAAGCCTGAGCAAGAGAAAGCTGGAGCTGCAGGGCTGTCAGGGCTCAGCGGAAGCGCCAGGATCAGCATCAGGCTCCAGCTGATCAGCGTTTCTTTGGGGCTGTCAGGGCTCAGTGGAAGCGCCAGGATCAGCGCCAGGCTCCAGCTAGAAAGCAGCACTGATCCTGGTGCTTCTGCTGAGCCCAGAAGAAGCACCGATCAGCTGGAATGTTGCAGCCTCTCCAGAGTCTTGTGATTTACATTCAGATGCTTGGCAACTGATTCATATTTATGATGGTCACAGTGTCCTAGGGTCATGTGAAGTGACCAAAACCTGCTGCAACCACCCAGCAGATGGGGGGGAATAAAAACCAAACACCCCCCCACCCCCCGCTGCCAATCCTCAACAGAAATGCTCACAACAATGAAAACCTCGGACAGGAGGAAGAGCGTCGCTGGGTGGGCAGGCAGGTGTCTTGCTCGGCTGTGGCTTGGGGGGCACTTTTTTCAGCGCCATTGTAACTTCAAACAGTCATTAAGCGAACTGTTGTAAGTCGAGGACTCCCTGTACTTTATCACTTTTTTCCTTTTTTTTNTTCCTGCCATGGATTATAGAAGGTTTCTGAAATCTGTTTCTTTATTAGAATGTCTGGATCCGGGAACTGGAGCCAGACTAGAAGTTGAAATTAAAGAATAAAATGCTTGTATTGTTTGAGCATTCATTCAAATGTGGAGCAGCAGCCAGATAGAATTTGCTGGTCTTTTACAACAAATCCCAACCTGGAGGTTCTCCAACGTATTTTCATTTCAGCAGCCTAAATAAGAAAGTGCTGTAATTTTGCTTCCACTGATGAACAAGTTAGGCTTAGAATCTTTTCCTGATCTACAACGGATCTCTCAGATTCATTAGTAGGCGTGATAAAAGAAAACCCCAGGATCTACATTAATTTCCTTTGTTTCCTTTCCAGTATTAACTAGCAAATTAGATTTTATTATTGAATATAAACACACATTGGATGCTGAAAGGTATTGCAGCAAAGCAAAAGTGGCCAGGTTAGAAAAATACCTGGATTCTTAAGACATTGCAGACAGAATTCCAATGATGCTCTACTTTATTATTTATTATTTATCATATTTATATGGCCACCTATCACAGTCACGTGACTCTGGTAGTTAGGAAAGGATAGAGGTGAGAAAGGAAAACCTTAGTTTTGCTGAAGATATTGATGGTCATTGTTGTTAGTTGCGAAGTTGTGTCCGACCCATCGCGATCCCATGGACAACGTTCCTCCAGGCCTTCCTGTCCTCTACCATCTTCTGGAGTCCATTTAAGCTCACGCCTCCTGCTTCAGTGACTCCATCCAGCCACCTCATTCTCCGTCGTTCCCTTCTTCTATTGCCCTCCATCTTTCCCAGCATTAGGCTCTTCTCCAGGGAGTCCTTCCTTCTCATAGGTGGCCAAAGTACTTGACTTTCAACTTCAGGATCTGGCTTTCTAAAGAGCAGTCGGGGTTGATCTCCTCTAGGACTGACCGGTTTGATCGCCTTGCAGTCCAGGGGACTCGCAGGAGTCTTCTCCAGCACCAGAGTTCAAAGGCCTCAATTCTTTGGCGCTCAGCCTTTCTTGTGGTCGAACTTTCACAGCCATACATTGCAACTGGGAAAATTGATGGTCACATATGATGCTTTTTCATGCCTGCGATGTCACATCTGCTCATGGGAAATTGGCCCATGAAGCCCTGTTGGGATTGTAAGCGCCACTTCGGTAAGAAGTATAAATCAAGACTGTTGACTAATATGCCTCTTTGTACCCTTTTCAGTATGATGAGCTTGTCCCAGCGTCTCTAACAACCAAGTATGGAGGCTTCTACATCAACTCTGGAACTCTGCAGTTCCGACAGGCTTCCGAATCGGAGGATGACTATATCAAGGAGAAAAAGAAGAAGTCTCCGAAGGTCTGTGATTCACATGCTCTGGGAACTTCTGTTTCAGGAATGGCCTTTCATTTGCTGCAGTTGTGTTTCTGATTGTAAAATCTGTAAAACTGGGAGGCACCGTGGCACCCTCAGTGAAAATAAGTGAAAGTAAACAGAGTACAGAGCACAACATCGAGGTCCAAAAGTTCATTCATACTCTGTGAACAAACAAGTAGTTGTAGCAATTTCTGCCTGCTGTTACTTGTAATCTCAACAGCACCGAGGGCTCTCGTGACTGGGAGATTATAGCAGTTGAGATCACGTCAGTTCTTAGCTGGCTGACAGATATTTTTTTTCTTTCTCAAAGGACAAGGTGTACCTGTTTCTGGCCAGTAATCCATTTGTCGTGTAGTTTCATTGGAGTTGGGTGCTGGGAGAGATAGAATTCTTTCTTCTCTTGTCCTCTTTGTCTTCTGTCGTGACTGTAGGGCAGGGGTGTCAACCTTGGCAACTTTAAGATCTGTGGACTTCAACTCCCAGAATTCCCCAGCCAGCTCCAGATACCCCTGCTTTAGGCCAAGACTTTTCAACCAGTGGTATGGGTACACCTGTGGTACGTTGGCACCTGGCAGGTGGTACGTGGCCATCCTAGAAAAGTAGCGGGGGGAGGGGAAGCCTGAGCGAGAGATGGCTGGAGCTGCAGGGCTGTCAGGGCTCAACGGAAGTGCCAGGATCAACGCCAGGTTCCAGCTGGAGCTCAGCGCTGATCCTGGTGCTTCTGCTGAGCCCAGAAGAAGCGCCGATCAGCTGGAATGTTGCAGCATCTCCAGGGTCTTGTGATTTACATTCAGATGCTTGGCAACTGATTCATGTTTATGACGGTCACAGTGTCCCAGGGTCATGTGAAGTGACCAAAACCTGCTACAGCCACCCAAACACCCCCCACCCCAGCCCCACTGCCAATCCTCAACAGAAATGCTCACAACAATGGAAACCTCGGACAGGAGGAAGAGCGCGGCCGGCCGGGCAGGCCAGTGTCTTGCTCGGCTGTGGCTTGGGGGGCACTTTTTTCAGCGCCATTGTAACTTCGAACAGTCACTAAGCGAACTGTTATAAGTCAAGGACTACCTGTACTTTGTCACTTTTTTCCTTTTGGGGGGGGGGGGGAGTGTCATCAAGTTTTTGACACCTTGCTAGGCGACTGGTGGTACTCGGATGTTGCCATATCCTAAAAGTGGTACCATGGGTGAAAAGGTTGAAAAGCCCTGTTTTAGGCTACTGCTTGGAGGCAAGATCCTTAGGAAACTTCCTGTTGGGAATTACAATGGTTCTTAAATTCATATCTCCAGTACTCCTTTTTGTCCAAAGTCCATATCAGTTTTTCCCCCCCTTGGTGCTTCCTGCGTCGTTTGGACTCATCCCATCTATGCTGATCATTAGCCAGCTAGGTTAAAACTGATGGGAGTTGTGGTCCGAGAGCAGGCAGAGAAAGTCAGATCTAAATGAACAGCTTCATGCGCTATCTGTTACGATAACTTTTTCTTTAATTCCCAGAAGCGGAAATTGAAAGAGGGTGGTGAGAAGGTGAAGAAAAAGAAGAAAGATGACAATTACGAGAAAGAGAAGAAATCTAAAAAATCTAAGTTTTCTAAAACTGGGTAAGTATTTCTCTTTGATGTGAATGTGGGCTTCTGAAGTTAAAATGATTGTCTTGACTATCTCCCTGCAGAGGCTTCAGCTTCCTTGGAAGAACACGCAGATTTAGGAGAGATCAACTTATCAAGCTGCATTGTGGGATCTGAATTCCAATCCTCCTCTTGAGCATCTGCTTCTGACAATAGACTCAATCCACCTTACAAGACTTCAACGAAGACTCAGTCATCCAAGCCAGAAGTGTCTAAAAGTTGAATCATGGCAACTGGACCAATCTTTGTCAATCTGAGACGTTTCGTTGCTCATCCAAGCAAATTTCATCGGTCAGATCAAAATTAGTTAGAGATTCGTTGGATTATATCAACTCTTGCCACGCCAACTTCAGGGGTTTCTGAACGACTCTCTGCCTAACTAATTTTGCTCTGACTGATGAAGTTGCTTGAATGACCAATGAAACATCTCAGATCAATAAAGTTTGGTCCAATTGCCATGATTCAACCTTTAGACACCACTCTCCAATAATCAGTCCTTTTCCTGCTATGAGCAATAATAATAATAAAGTTGGAAGGGACTTGGAGGTCATTAGTCCAACCCCCTGCTCAGGCAGGAAACCCTATACCATTTGGCTGTCCAGTCTCTTCTTAAAAACTTCCAGTGTTGGAGCATTCACCGCTTCTGGAGGCAGGTTGTTCCACTGGTTAATTGTTCTCACTGTCAGGAAGTTTCTCCTTAGTTCTAGGTTGCTTCTCTCCTTGGTTAGTTTCCATCCGTTGCTTCTTGTCCTGCCTTCAGGCGCCTTGGAGAATAGCTTGACTCCCTCTTCTTTATGGCAACCCCTGAGATATTGGAAGACTGCTATCATGTCCCCCCTCGTCCTTCTCTTCATTAAACTAGACATACCCAATTCCAGCAGCCGTTCCTTATATGCTTTAGCCTCCAGTCCCCTGTTGCCATGATTCAACTTTTAGACACTACTCTCCAATAATCGGACTTTTTCCTGCTATGAAATTTGGGAGAGTGAGCAAAAATGGACTGGATTATTTTACATTATCCCTGTCTTGGGAGCGAGGGGGTTTCAAAATGCAGAGCCATTCCACGCAGAGATGGCAGAGCTCTGTCATCCCCAATCTCACTGCTTCTGGCCATCTCGTTGGGCAATGATGGGACTTGCAAACTCACACAACTATCAGGCATTAGGCTGCTCAAATGGTCGCCACCTTTGCTTATGTTCTGTGGGTGGTCCTTGACTCACCACGATTTAAACCTAGACTTTCTGCTGCTCCATTTTACAATCCTTTTGCCATGCTTGTCGAGCGAATCACAACAGTTGTTCAGTGAAGCTTGCCATTGTGAAGCAAGTCTGACTTCCCCCGTTGACTTGTCAGAAGCCCCCTGGGAAGGTTGCAGGTGGCAATCCCAGGACCCCTGGATGCTGCAGCCGTCGTCAATAACGATACGTGCCGGTTGCCAAGCCCCCAAAGTTTGATCGCGTGACCTGGGAAAGAGTTTGATCCCGTGACTTGTGGGGAAGGCTGCAATGATCCCAAGTTTGAAAATTGGTCATCAGTCACTTTTTCCAGGGCCGATGTCCTTAAGCAAATGGTTGTGGGTCGAGGACCCCCCCCCCGTACGCACTTTTCTCCGTGGTGTGTATATCAACCTGTCTCTTTTATAGTTTCACAGCTCTGAACGCCAGCAAAGAAAAGAAGAAGAAGAAATACTCGGGGGCCTTGAGCGTCAAGGAGATGCTGAAGAAATTCCAGAGGGAAAAGGACGCCAAGAAGCAGAGGGACGATGAACCCAAGCTGAGCATTCCCTCTCTGGCTGAAATCCCAGCTCAGCGGGAAGCAGAGATCGTGCCCGACCCTCTTCTCTCTCTCTTCGGCCACGCGAGCGACAACGAACTGCTCCAGGCGGCCACAGCCATGGACTCCTTGACTGACCTTGACCTGGAACAGCTTCTGAGCGAATCTCCAGAGGAGAGCCCTTTCCTGGAGATGGAGAACGGGAGCGATCCCCTAGGAGCGGGCCTGGAACCCGACCTGAAACAGCCTCCCTCCCTTCCTGATGGACTTCCGGAACCACTGGTGAAGCGCGTTGAGGAGCTCACTCAGGTATTTGTATCTCCGGTTGCACACATGTCAAGCGACACAGGCAGCCCTCGGCTTAAAACTGGTCATTCCACTGCCATTTGAAGTTAACGATGGACTTCAAAAGGTATTTGACAGATCAAAGTGGCTTGCGAATAGATGTAGAGGTTTATAAACCTTGGACTATTTTGCAAGAGGGAAAGTTATTGCAGCAATATATTTGTCAGCGGGGGGTGGGAATGATGTGTGTTCTTGTTTTTTGTTCTTTTAATTCGCAACTTTTTTTAAAAAAAAGTTTTGCATAGTTTTATTTTGTCTGTCCCGGGGTCATATGATTCCCCTTTTGTGACCTGAGATGCACAGTCAGTGGGGAAGCCAAATTCACTTAACGACCATGTGTAAGACGCTAAGAAAAAGACACAGGCATGTCTTGAGTAGAGGTTTGAAGCTGCAGGACACAGCTTGACAAACTCTGTGAGTTTATTGCTTTTTATATTCTTGTTACATACACCAGCTTAACCATTAGATGCAGACAAAGGTTTCTTCACTGGAAAATTTCTTCATGTAAGCAACTATTTTCTAGTAACACATTACATGGTTAAAGACCAGGTAAAGAACAAATACAGGGAGATGAAAGGAGAAGGAACTAACAAAGACAGGAAAAGATAGGAAGGAACTAAGCATATTATTTGTTTCGGTAGGTGAGGCATTAAGTCAAAAGGGTATGACCTTCTGGCTGCTTCACTGGGACAAAGGGTATCAAAAGGTTATGAGGTTTGGGGGGAAAGCACGGCAGTTTGCTGCGCGTGCATTTTTCCCCACACCATGTTATTAATTTAACAACTGTAAGGATTCATTTAGCTACGCTGTCAAGAAAGGTCATAAAAGGGGGGGGCAATTCACTTAACGAATGTCTCACTTGACAACCAAAAGTTTGGGTTCAGTTGTGGCCATTAAGTCAAGGACTACCTGTATGCTGATTTAGGAGTCACACTAGCCTGGATTTATGAGAATTTTGGTTCGATTCAGCCCAGTGCTGTTTCGTTGGGGCTGTGGTTTTTCTGCCTTTCAGTCCATAGTTTCTAATCAGTCTCTCTTTTTTTTTTCTTCATAACCCAGCTCCTTCCCTTGCTTTCTCTACCCCCCCACCCCCGGCCCAGTGTCGCTGTTGCCTCCTAACGGTTCTGTGTTGTGTGTTTCTGAATTAGACTGCCAGAGCTGCAGAGAGGGAAGGCAAACACAAGTTCTTCAACCAAGACATGAACAGCATCCTACTGGAGTAAGCCCCCTTCCTGGTTGTAGAAGTCAGGCCTTGCAAAGCATCCAGAAAAGCGAGAGAGAAGAGGCTCCCTAGAGCAGGGGTAGTCAACCTTGGCTCTTTTATGACTCGTGGACTTCAACTCCCAGAATTCCTGAGCCAGCACAGCTGGCTCAGGAATTCTGGGAGTTGAAGTCCACGAGTCATAAAAGAGCCAAGGTTGACTACCCCTGCCCTAGAGCGTCTTAGGGACGCTCTCTGCAGCCTGCAGAACAAGTTGCAACATGGTGAACGAACACCCTCCTGTCCCAACTGATGGTTGTGGCATCCATTTCAAGTGACTGGTCATTTAAGATGGCCTCACTTGGGGCACTGGGCTACTGGCCTGCGTTTGCAGCTGTTAGTTTGGCTTTTTTGTTTCTGTCATTTGTACCCTGCCTTTTTATTATTTTTTATAAATAACTCAAGGCAGCACACATACTTAACCCTCCTTCCTCCTCCAGTTTTTCCCCACAACAGCCCTGTGAGGTAGGTTGGGCGGAGAGAGAGTGATTGGCCCAAGATCACCCAGTTGGCTATCATGGATAAGGTCTCCTCCTTTGTAGCCTGGTGCCCTAATCACTACCAAACCCACAAATTGTGACTGCAATTGACAATCTTTTTGCCAGAAACCGATTTATGGCAAAATCTGGCCCATAGCGAACAATGGGGTTAGTTTATGACCGCTCTGTTCGCTCAATGACCACTGCAGAAAGATAAAAATGGGTCCAGTCACACAATAACCCACTTCACAACCGTCACGGCTTACAGCTCTAATTGCTGTGCTCAATTATCCATTCTAAGTCAAGGACTGCCTACGGTGTCTTAAGTGAGACAGGTCCAGGAAGGAGACAAAAGGAGATGTCATGCTAACTCTTAAGTATGTATGTAGCGATCCCCAAAATGAAAGAGGGCAGGAATGCTGTGAACACGTAGAGCTGACCAGCAGCTGGCTGTTCTGACTGCTCTTTCTCACCTTGGGTGCAAAAGCATGCCAGCAGGCAGGAGCATGTATTCCAAATTTAAGCCGATGTTTTGGATCAGTTTATTTGAGAATGATTCCTGCATTGCCATCAAATATGTGGCAGGGACTGTCACCTGAAAGATAAAAAGAAGGATCTTTGGGCCATCACTGACAAGGTTATCTTAGAAGCAGAACAATTTGGGGGAATTAACAACTCCGTTGCTTGATGGGGGATACACGGAAGGGGACATTCCCAGTGGCGTTATTTTACTTGCAGGGGAAATTAATATTTTATTTTGAGGGCGACGATGAAATGTTCTTAAGTGTTATACGGGAGAGGGGTAAAACCCTTGTTCCAGGGGTTTCAGAGTTTTAATTGGCATTGTTTTAATGAGGTGGCGTGTGTCCCTCTTCGGGGGCGCTTAGGGAAAGTGGCCGAACCAGAGCTAAATTCTTCTTCCTGTTCTGCCCTCAGTATAGAGTTGCAAACCCGGGAGCTGAACAGCCAAATGCGATCGGGGGTCTATGCACATCTGGCCTCCTTCTTGCCTTGCAACAAAGATACCCTGGTCAAGCGGGCCCGGCGACTGTACCTGTATGAACAGGTGAGTGATTGTGGGGGACACAACCACTGACACATGAACCATTGCACAGAGATGGGTAATTTGCATCCTCCTCCCCCCAAAATTGAAAATGCTTTGCAATTGGTCACGTCAGGCTTTTAGCAGGAGCAGTCTGGCCTTTTCCTTAAAGTCTACTAGGTGAGGAAGCCGAGAGGAAAGGGCACTTGGAAAAAGAGTGAAAACGGGGCCCCACGATTTAGATCTAATCCCAGAGGAGCTCAAGATCAGCCCCACCTCCTCTTTATTTGACCTTGGGGGAAGACTCCTGGCTGAGGAAAGGAAGCTGTGTTTATTTGCATTTATGCCCCTTTTTCAGCTAGGCTGAGATAATTCATTGCTCAGAAAGGGAAGAGCCTTAAAAACACGCAATGCCGCCGCTTAAAAGTGTCCCAGATTATAAGGGATGAAAGGAGACTGAGGTGAACCCAGTAGCTGCAGGAAGAATAAGGACCTATTGCTGCCTCTCTGGAAACGTCACGAAGAGAAAGCTGAGTCTTTAGGAAGAGGGATCCATAATGTTGTTGTTGTTAGTTGTGAAGTCGTGTCCGACCCATTGCAACCCCATGGACAACGTTCCTCCAGGTGTTCCTGTCCTCTACCATCTTCTGGAGTCCATTTAAGCTCACGCCTACTGCTTCAAGGACTCCATCCAGCCGCCTCATTCTCTGTCGTCCCCTTCTTCTCTTGCCCTCCATCTTTCCCAGCATGAGGCTCTTCTCCAGTGAGTCCTTCCTTCTCATTAGGTGGCCAAAGTACTTGAGTTTCAACTTCAGGATCTGGTCTTCTAAAGAGCAGTCGGGGTTGATCTCCTCTAGGACTGACCGGTTTGATCGCCTTGCAGTCCAGGGGACTCGCAGGAGTCTTCTCCAGCACCAGAGTTCAAAGGCCTCCATTCTTTGGCGCTCAGCCTTTCTTATGGTCCAACTTTCACAGCCATACATTGCAACTGGGAAAACCATGGCCTTGACTATATGTACTTTTGTTGGCAGGGTGATGTCTCTGCTTTTTAGTATGCTGTCTAGATTTGCCATAGCTTTCCTCCCCAGGAGCAAGCGTCTTTTAATTTCTTAGCTGTAGTCCCCATCTGCGGTGATCTTGGAGCCCAGGAAGATAAAATCTGTCACTACCTCCATTTCCATGCCATTTGAGTAATACCTAAACAACGACCGGCTCCTTGCCTCCTGAGAAAGATGCCTGGAGTTCACTTAACAAGAAGCTTTTGTGTGTCTCATAGCCCTTCTGAGTGTACACAATTGTGCTTCCCTTCCCCCCCTCCCCCATCTTTAAATAAAACCACTGCCTGATTGTGGGTACAGCTGAACAGGTTGAACCCTAACTCTCGGTCCTTTTTTAGGGGGGTCGGCTGAAGGAGCCACTTCAGAAGCTGAAAGAGGCCATTGGCAGAGCAATGCCCGAGCAGATGGTCAAATACCAGGAAGAATGCCAAGCACACACCCAGGCCAAGTTTGCCAAGTATGTGTTTCGTTTGTTTTTGTTATCTCTCTCTGGTCGCCCTTCCTTGCAGTTCTCCATAGATACTCCAGGCTCGGTAAGCCCTTGAGTCTAGACCAGGTGTGGGCAACCTTGGCTCTTTTATGACTCGTGGACTTCAACTCCCAGAATTCCTGAACCAGCCATGCTGAGGGGAAAGAGGTTTCCAAGCTGAGCCATGCTGGCTCAGGAATTCTGGGAGTTGAAGTCCACGAGTCATGAGGGGGCCAAGACTGAAGACCCCTGGTTTAAATATTTAAATATTTTTTCCTCACGGTCACGTGATCAAAATTCAGGCATTTGGGCAGGGGTAGGCAACCTTGGCTCTTTTATGACACGTGGACTTCAACTCCCAGAATTCCTGAGCCGGCCACGCTGAGGGGAAAGGGAGAGGTTTCCAAGCTGAGCCACGCTGGCTCAGGAATCCTGGGAGTTGAAGTCCACGAATCATAAAAGAGCCACGGTTGCCTACACCTGGTCTAGAAGCATAATCGCTGAGAACTCTTGGGGTGCCTTCTTACCGGCTGATCCTGGGCAGGCAGGATATTTTTTGGAGAAGGACCTCGTGCGTCGATGACCATTTTTCTTCTCTCAGGATGCTGGAAGAGGAGAAGGACAAGGAGCAAAAAGACCGGATTTGTTCCGAGGATGAGGACGACGATGATAAAGGAGGGAAGAGGATCATGGGACCTCGGAAGAAGTTTCAGTGGAATAATGAAATCAGGTTTGCTGAAAAAATCTGGATTTTAGAACCCTGTTTCCGGTTTGGGGAGAACAGTGTCACCCCCCCTCCGGGAATGTGTGTGCCTTGGCTGTCCCGTTTTCAGGGTTGGTGCAAGTAGTCCTTACCGCTTACTTACAGCTGTTAACTTTGTGACCATTCAAAGTTACAACAGCATGGAAATAAGGGAGATATGACTGGTCCTCCTCGCATTTAACGGCCATTGTAGCGTCCAAATTCAGCTGATTGGCCACCGGTATGTCGTGCGCTGCCCTGAGATCACGTCATCACCATTTGTGACCATCCCAGCTGGCTTCCAACAGGCAAAGTCAATGGGGAATGCCAGATTCGCTTAACAACTGCAGTGATTCACTTAACAACTGGGGCAAAACAAAGTGAAATTGGGTGTGGCCCACTGAACAACCGCCTTGCTTAGCAACAGAGATTCTGGTCCTAACTCTGGTGGTTAAGTCAAGGATTACCTCTAATCTGGTTTAAAGGTCTCTTGGCGAGATCGTTTGGTGCCGTGATCTTTTAAGAGATCCGGTTTCAAAGCAAGAGACTTAACTGGGATATTTATCACTGAAGACTATTCAGTGTCATTTTTTAACTGGTTTCTGTTAAGCTTTCAAAAAAACATCCCTGCTAACGTATATAATATTGTGCATAGCATTAGTGTAGTTGGTGACTTACGTGGAAAAAAATATAGTACACAAGCAGCTCCTGAAAACCCACCTTTGGGAGAAATGAAATCCAGTAGGAAATGAAACAAGCAATGATGAAATGATCAAGCAGAGCCTGGTAACCCACTGAGAAAGGGAAAGAACAGATGCATCTCATCTGTCAGAAGTCTGCCCAATCTCCAGCTAAATTTGTTGTTGTTGCGAAGTCGTGTCCGACCCATCGCGACCCCTGGACAACGTTCCTCCAGGCCTTCCTGTCCTCTGCCATCTTCTGGAGTCCATTGAAGCTCACGCCTCCTGCTTCAGTGACTCCATCCAGCCACCTCCTTCTCTGTCGTCCCCTTCTTCTCTTGCCCTCCATCTTTCCCAGCATCAGGCTCTTCTCCAGTGAGTCCTTCCTTCTCATTAGGTGGCCAAAGTATTCGAGTTTCAACTTCAGGATCTGGCTTTCTAAAGAGCAGTCGGGGTGGATCTCCTCTGGGACTGACCAGTTTGAACTCTATTAAAGCTATTAAAGAACCAGATTTCTGTCAGCAACACAAGATATTGAAACAGTGAAATCTGGGGAACATATCCCATAGAGTTGATGTCACTGCTATTTGAGTTGAGGTGGAATTTGAGGCTATTTGAGGCCTTTCTAGGTGAGATCATATTTTAAATGCCTTTTTCAGTCTCAAGTTGAAAGACACTGTCCGTAGCTTTGGAAAACCCGGTCAACCTTTTTCCCCTTGTAGGGATTTGCTTTGCCAAGGGGTGAAGATCAAACTGGACGGGTATGACCTGGAGAAGAACAAAGCTCTGTCCATGGAAGACTACATAAAAACATTCCTAGACACCGAAGTCAAACCTCTTTGGCCAAAGGGCTGGATGCAGGCCAGGTAAAAGAAAAAAGGAGCCACGGATTCCTCCTTCCTCCCCATTTAATCAGCCCATAAATACCTTAGATATAGTAGGGTTTGATCCACAAGTCAGCAGCCCCCAATCTTTTGGGCTCCAGGAACTAGTTCCATGGAGGGTGGTTTTTCCACAGACCGGAGGGTTTCGCGCTGCCTGGATCTGGTGCTTGCGTGGGTGGGCCTTCACCCGCTTCCGCGACCCAGTTCCTGGCAGTTGGGGACCCCTGCCACAAGGTGTCATGTCTTTTTTTTAAATTCCTCAAACCTTACAAACCTGACTACGTATTTCCATCATACATATACCACCGTATTACGTGCTCCTTCTATATAATTTTATTACTATTATCCCTGTGCTCTGTGTCATACACTAAATAAATAAAAGAGACCGGAGGTATGAAAAGCAAATAATTTTGTAAGTATCCCTAATGAATGTCAGATCTGGAATTTGGCATGCAATGAAGTTTCTAGTGCCGTGTTTATGCTATAAAGAGACGCTAGATGGCTATTGAACGATCAAAGCTTCAGCCTAAACCAGGGGTCTTCAAACTTGGCCTTTTTATGACTTGTGGACTTCAACTCCCAGCATTCCTGGCTGAGGAATTCTGGGAGTTGAAGTCCACAAGTCATAAAAGGGCCAAGTTTGAAGAGCCCTGGCCTAAACCAACGAAGAGCAAATATTGTGAATGAAAGGCCCATAAAAGTCTTGTTTGCTTTGAGAGGAATGGCAGCTATGAACTTCCTGAAGAAGTGGTGCCTCTTGGCACTTTTTGTGTCAATGGGGACTGTGTAGAAATAAGAGCCTACAAGTGCCAGAAACCTTTTGTCCCAACTAGGTAGTTTAATAGTTGTAGCAGGAATTTGTGCAGCTTGTTTCTTCAGAATGGCATTAGAATGGGGTAATTGTTTGCTTTGTCACTCAGAATGATCCTAGAATCATAGATCTGGAAGGGACGCCATTGACAGAAGTCTCTAGTCCAACCTCCACGAATGCCCAGTTTAGTTAGTTGTTAGATTTAATTGAGATTTAGTTAGTTAGCTAGCATGCCCAAGTTAGTTAGAATGTCCAATTTAGATAGTAGGGACTGCAGAAAAAAAAAACAATTGCAAGCAGCCTGCCTTTTATTGAGGGCCTGTATATTGCGTGAGCTAGAAAGAGGGTTGAGGAAATATCTACAGACCCCTCACATCCTGGACATAAACTGTTTCAACTACTCCCCTCAGATGTCGCCACAGGACATTGTATGCTAAAACAACTAGACACAAAGACAGTTTTTTTTTCCCCTCGCGCCATCACTCCGTTGAACACCTAATTCCCACAGTACTGTCTTACGTCTAACGATATTTCCCCATGTAATAAGGCAGCATTGCTATTCTTTTCATCTTTTGCACTATCTTCTCCCGTTGGTATCTTATGATTATATTACCTTGTTGTTTGTATGTACACCGAGAGCTTATGTGCTGGAGACAAATTCCTTGTGTGTGTCCGATCACACTTGGCCAATAAAGTATTCTGTTCTGGGTTTTTTTTTTTCCCTTAAAAACCTCCGGTAATGTTTTATTTGGCTCAGATAAAACAAGATTGGAGGGACAAACTTTGCTTCGGGATGACCCAGTAACATGCAAGAGGTGCTTTCTGTCTTTTCTCGTGGCTTGTTTTGCAACTGCAAACCTGACCATTTTTTCACAGCAAATGTGATTCCTGCAATTTGGTTACAGTGGGTTCAGTTCTCGTTCTAGAAATCCTTATTCCTGTTATTTTCAATCCCCCCCCTTCCCCGCTCCTTTTTTTCCTTTGACAACCAGTTTTGTCTCAGTTTCTCCCTCCTCCTCTCCTTTTTCAGGACATTGTTCAAAGAGACCAGAAAAGTGCACAGTCATCTCACTTCAATCCCGTGAGTATTTCTTCCATTGCCAGTACAGAATGCGAAGGTCAGGCGTGAAAGACCAGCTCCACTTGTGAAAGTACAGTTAAACGGATCTTTTGCTAAAAGATCTTCTCAACTCACAGTTAGCACTTCCTTAGAGTTAGGTAAGGGTCAAGAGCACTGAAAGGAGGCTGAACTTAATCCACTTGTGACTACATAGGGATACTAGGCTGATCCCTTTTTTAACTCCGCCCCCACGTTCTGCCTTCTTTCTCCATCAGTGGGGGGTTCCCTTGCTGCCTACCAAGTTTAATTGGTTTTTTTTTCTGCCTTAAGTTTTTTTATTAATTTTCCAATATTACATTTACATATTTGAAAAGTAGCGTGGCGGCTGAGCACAGTAGTTCCATTACATTTGAATATCATCAATAAAAATCTCAAAGTATTACAACAACTAATTCCATCTCTTTCCCCCATAATGTCTACTGTCTCATGTTTGGACCAACATAGTTCTTATTCTGTCAATCAAACAGAAAATACCTTTCTGGTATTCATCAATAATCTTCAGTCTGTGCATATCTTAATTGATTTAGCATTCCATCTTTTAGACAATAACCTAGTACGTTTTTCTTAGCTTTAATTTCCCATTGGTATTTAAATTTAACGTTTAATCTTTTATCATTTCCAAATTTTAAATGACCCCAATTTCTAAGTCTCCTATCTCGTATTTGGGGCTAATAATAATATTTTTTTTCCTCTTCTTTCTATTTCCTTCCTTCCTTCTTTTCCAAAGAAATAATTAAATTTGTATATTGGCTTGTGGTACAGATGCTGACAGGGTTTTTTTGTTTGTTTTTTCTTTTTTCTTTTCCAAGTTTAATTGTTGCTGTCATTCAATATGCAACCGTCTTGTCATGCTGTTGCTTAAACTTTTGTGAGGACCTGATTTTTTTTTTTAAAAAATGACTCAGAATTAAAGCTGTATTACAGCTAAGGTGATGTTACAAATGTACTGCAACTATATCAAGAGGATATAATTTTACTACTAAGTAGCAAAAGGTACACGGGTACCAAACAATGAGGCCAACAGACCTTTGTTGACATCTTCTCTGTTATATAGTGTCAAACTCATCCCTCTCCTATTCTCTAAGACAGTGATGGCGAACCTTTTAGAGACCGAGTGCCCAAACTGCAACCCAAAACCCACTTATTTATCGCCGGGTGCCAAGTGGGTGGCCCACTGGATGGGCTTGGCTGTGGTGGTCATGGCAGATTGGGTGGGTGTGGCCAATGTGGGCATGATCACCTCAATGTTGCTTGTGGGGAGGGACGTCTGGGGGGGCGGGGCAGGGTTGGGGGAGATCCAGGGTGTCTCTGGCAGGTGGGGCGGTGGGCAGGAGGCTCGTCCTGCGGGGAGAGGCGAGGCAGGGCGGGGGTGCCATTGTCACAGGGCAAGGTGAGGCAGGGGCCAGGGCGGCGGCTGCCTGACACCATCGGCCCCTGAACACAGAGGCCAGCGAGCACATGGGTGCTGGGATGCATCCGTCCATGTGGGACCTTGGCCAGTTAGCGGGCGGCTGGTTGAAGAAGGACGGTTGCCATCTCCGGGGCATGGCGCGCGTGCCCACAGAGAGGGCTCCGAGTGCCGCCTCTGGCACGCGTGCCATAGGTTCGCCACCACTGCTCTAAGAACTCATACCTACAGATTTTTTCCCCAGGTTTCTACTCAGTATGCTTTTAACTGGAAGTGCAAGCAACTTCCATGAATGACTTTCAGCAGGGACACGTTCCATTTTTTTTTATGTTCCAAATATCTTTAGAGAAGGTTGCTTAAATAATTGGATTTGTGTTCCGGTTTGAGCAGTTGATGGCCTGCCCCGAGCACAAGAAGGGCCTCTAGTTGTCAACTCTGGCAAGTTTTGTTAAGGCTGCATTTCCTTCTCCCGGAAATGAAGCATATCTCCTCTCTCTCTCTCTCTCTCTCTCTCTGTTGTGTTTCCCTCAGAACCAAAAAAAAAGTGATGATTCCTCCAAAGGTAAAAGGAAAGGTGAGTGGTTTGGTTGAGACTTTCAAATAGTTTTCAGCCCTCGGGGGCGGGGGGGGGTGTGTGTGTGATCGCAGGAGGATGCCACAATGACAAAGCTGTGACTGGGTTTGTATGAAAAGAGGGGGGGGAGGTCTCCTCCAGACTGGCTTCTGTTTTTTCTTGCACGTGTGTGGATTTCTTAGTTTTGCTTTGCAGAATTGTATGAAGCCTGTGCGCCAAGGACTTCGCAATCTAATAAGTAGCAAGATAGTAGTGTTGGGCGTGGAGATAGCCAAAAAAAAAAAAGGGGTGGGGGGCTGAAAAAAACACCCCCAATGGGTTGAGTTATTTCTGTGATGTATTTCTGAGGCCTCCAGAGTAGTAGTAGTAGCAGCTCTCCAGAAGGGATCGCACGAAACAGTTTGACGCGCGCATTGACCTCTGAAAGGACACTTCTCACACAACCGTTGTGTTCTTTTTAGGAGCCTTTTGGCAAACCGGAGAAGAAGCTTCCCCTCCCCGTCCCGTTGATCCACCCCAGCGGTGCAGTTTCTCTGTCTCCAGATTCCCAGGGAGTTGTCGTCGGCCTCAGCCCTCAGACTAGGGAACTGTTGGCTATGAGTTCCAATCCAGTCACCAGCACCATGGCTGCTCCTCCTCCTCCTCCTCCTCCTTTCAGCCTGGACGATTCTCTCGACGAGGACTTGATCCATCACACGACTTCCTCTTTGGAAGCTGTCTCCAAGGAACTGGCTGCGCTCAACAGCCGAACAGGAGGCAACAGCCCTGACTTCACCGTCTCTCCGGCTCTGAAGGCGCCTGCGGAGAAGCCCTCCAGTCAGAGCAGCTTGGAAGAGAAGAGGGTCTTCCCCAAATCGGCTCCCGCCCCTGCCCATTCAGCTGTTGGGGGCTCCGTGCAGTCTCCACTCAACTTCTTGGCCGAACAGGCTTTGGCGCTGGGCCAGTCTCCCCAAGAGAAGAAAGCTGAGGGCCCCACGTACAAAGAGCTCCCTTGCCAGAGCCCTCCTTCCAAGCACTTGGACGCCCACCAGGTGGCCAAGCCGAAACACCACAGCCTGCCCCGTGCGTTGCAGGGCCCTCAGACCTCAACCCCGGTGCAGACCCCCCAAGTCAAAGTGTTTCCTCTGGTTACTCAGCAGCAGAAAAGCTTCCCCCCTTCCCCGCCTTTTGTCAAGCTGCAGAACCCCAAGATTGTCTCCCCGCTGGCTCAGCGCCCTCTCCTCCAACAGCAAGCCAAGGCCCCCGCCAAGGCCCCCGGCTTCCATTCTTCCTCTTCTTCCTCCTCCTGCTCCTCCTCTTCAACCATCTCTCCCAAGACCCCCAACTCTTTGGTGTCTCTGAGTTTCGCCGGGAAGCACCCAAGTAGCCCTAGTTCCTCAGGGCAGTCTTTCAAGTCGCCCTTTGTGGCCCTGTCCAGGCACGTGGCGGCTTCTACCGGAAGCGTATCGTCCGGCATTGCCTCAACTCAGAGCTCCCCTTCGGGCAGCATCCTGCCGGGCGCCTGTGTCCCTTCCTCTGGCCAGGCTCCCAGTCGCTCGTCGCCCGGTTCCCTGGTGAAGAAAACCCTCGTCCCTCAAAAGCTGACTTTGGTGGCTCCGCCGGGGGGTCCCAACGTCAGCTCCAGCGGAGGAACGCAAGGAGTGGCCAAGTTGTTGACATCTTCCCTGAAACCTGCCATGATCAGCAGCTCCACACCCTCTACCTCTGGGCCGGTGAGTGGCTTCTGAGGAAGGCCAGGAGTTGGCTGGGGGAGTTTCAGGGTCCAAAGTGCAAATTTGCACTCTCCAGATAAGGGGCAACTGTTTTAAGACTGCAGATACCGTCCTGGAGCTTTTGTCTCCCTGCCCCTTTCTTTCTTTTTTTTTTTTTTTCTTTTTTTTTTTTTTTTGAAACCATCTAAAACAGGGGTAGTCAACCTCGGCTCTTTGATGACTCGTGGACTTCAACTCCCAGAATTCCTGAGCCAGCCATGGCTCAGCTTGGAAACCTCTCCCTTTCCCCTCAGTGTGGCTGGCTCAGGAATTCTGGGAGTTGAAGTCCACAAGTCATAAAAGAGCCAAGGTTGACTACCCCTGATCTAAAACTTGCAAACTGGAGCAGGTTTGCCCAAATTTCCTGGAACCCACTTTATGAGACCTCCTGCTGAAACCAAGCAAGGCTTGGTGACCTTTCAGATTTTGGCCAGTTGTTATTTTTTTTTTAAAAGCAAAACATTTTTAAGGACAAGCCAAGGAAGTCCAGTTGCCTGTTGGAAAATCACCTTAGGGACAGCTATGACCTGGATCAGTGGTGGCGAACCTATGGCACGCGTGCCAGAGGCGGCACTCACAGCCCTCTCTCTGTGGGCACGCGCGCCATGCCCCGGAGATGGCAACTGTTCCTCTTCAACCAGCCACCTGCTAACTCACTGAGGTCCCACGTGGCCGGATGCATCCCGGCACGGCTAGTTTCCCTCCCCCCCCCCCGGTCCCATCCCTCCTGGCCTCGCATGCTCTCCTTTTCCCGGGCACGACCCACTGCATCGCCTCCTCAGCTGTCGGCTGTCTGTCCAGCTCAGAGGCAGCTTCTTTGAATTGCTGGCGATGGGCTGCGGAGCCCCAGAATGCACCGGTCGGGGGGCCAGCAGGCTATGGCTGCTGACGGACACCGTCAGCCCCCATGCGCTCCCTGGCCTCTGTGTGCGGGGGCCGATGGTGTCAGGCAGCCGCCGCCCCCTGCCTTGCCCCATGGCAATGGCACCGCCACCCTGCCTCTCCTCACCCCGCAGGATGAGCCTCCTGCCCACCGTCCCACCTGCCAGAGACCCCCTAGATCTCCCCCAACCCTGCCCATCCCCCACAGGCGTCCCTCCCCATGAGCAACATTGAGGTGATCACGCCCACCTTGGCCACACCCACCCAATCTGCCATGACCACCACATGACCATCCAGTGGACCATGCCCACCTGGCACCCGGCGATAAATAAGTGGGTTTGGGGTTGTAGTTTGGGCACTCGGTCTCTGAAAGGTTCGCCATCACTGACCTGAATGATTGAGGAACACTATAGACATGTTGATCCTTGTGTTAAGGGGTAAATCCTCCCTCCCTGCCTATTAGTGCCATCTATAAATGTAATATCCATAAATTCATGGTGATCTTAATTGCATTCATTAAAAATGGAAGAAAACCTCAATTTCTTGATGTCTGTGGGGATCCTCAATCATCCAGGTCCTGGTTGTCCCAAGGGGGCTTTTCTGAAAGGCAACTGGACTTCCTTGTGTTTTTTCCTTAAAAACATTTTGCTTCTCATCCAAGAAGCTTTTTCAGTTCAGTTCAGTTCACTTCGGAACACAGTGCACACAGGTATGTGAACATTTGACCCCATTTAAGTAGATTGCCAAACGGGGTTTTTTTTAGTCCTTACAAAAACCCAAACTCTTATCACAAGCCTACATAGAGATTTGTTGAATGCCTCAAAAGATAACCATCCCATAGGAAAACAACGGCAGTTCTAAGCAGAATACTTCTGTTAACTCTTAAGGAACTTTTTTTTTTGCAAGGGCCAATGTTTGTTTTAACCCAGTGGTTCTCAACCTGTGGGTCGGGACCCCATTTGGGGTCGATCGACCATTTCACGGGGGTCGCCAAGCAAGGCTGTCCGCCATTATTTTTGTCCGCCATTTTTTTGTCCACCATTTTTTCCCCTTTTCCGGCAGGTGCCTTACCTCCCTTGGGCTGGGCCAGCTGGTGGTCGGCCTGCTCCGTCTCTGCCGCTTGCCAGCTACGCCTCGGCCGGCGCAGGGGGCGGAACCACACATGCGCGGCGCTCCCGGGCAGGGAAAGTCCTCGACTTATGACCGGTTGGGTAGTCCTCGACTTATGACCGGTTTAGTCCTCGACTTACGACCGGTTTAGTCCTCGACTTACGACCGGTTGGGGTCGCGGCATTAAAAAGGTTGAGAACCACTGTTTTAACCCGTGATGATCAACTGCTCCATAATTTTGGGACGTGGGCGAAGGCAAAGACGTCTCCTTTGTAAAATGATACGGCCACGGATCTACCCTTGCAGGGGCTGACAGTTGAGGAAGGGGACGGTTGCTCTTCTGCTCTAACTGGTGTTCTTTTCACCCACCCTTTCCCTCCTCCCCCGTCTACCCCCCCCCCAGAAAGGACCCGGTGGAGCAGTCCTGCTGACCAGTTCGTCTTCCTTGAACGTCCTGTCTCCTTCCTACAAACCCAACAGCCCAAAGCTGCCCACAGCACTAAGCTCTACTCCACTGGGGATTATATCGCCGATCCATTCCTTCCCTCTCCACGTGATTTCCTACAGCTCTGACTCTTCCGCCAAAGCTGGGGTGTCAAAGGATGTGATAGTCACAGGACCGGCCCCAGGAACATTCCATCACGGTGTTGGCCATAGTAAGTGTTGGTTGGGAAAGGTGGGGGTGGGGGGGGTGGGGGGGCTCCCATGCTGGGGGTTACAGCCGGTAAGCATTGCTGCTGCAGATAACGTGCTCCCTCTTCCTGCTACCTGCGCGTCTGTCCTCGTCCGAAGGGATCTTTAAAAAAAAAAAACTCATCTCCACGAATGTGTCCTCCGATGAGTTACCAAGATCTCTTCCTGTCTCGCTCATGTCTATGTCTGTCATTGCCGCTGTCTTGCTCTGCTTTTGCATCTCAACAATTCCGGGCCTGGGTCCCATCCTCTCTTCAAAAGCCGTCCTTCGGTTGGGACAATCCGTTCTGGAATACCTCTCGCGTACATGATCTCCTCAGCATCCTTTTCCCTTCCTTTCATCCATTGACACACCGTGGGAAGGGTCCGAGATCAAAAGTCCTTGTGTGGTACATCTCCGAATTCAAAGTCCACAATAGCACGGATCTAATGAGCCGTGGTGGCACAGTGGTTAGAATGCCTTATTGCAGGCTAAGTCACTGCTCACTGCCAGGGGTTCGATCCTGACCAGCTCCAGGTGGACTCAGCCTTCCATCCTTCCGAGGTCGGTAAAATGAGGACCCAGATTGTTGGGGGCAAATAGGCTGAGACTGTAAACCCCTTAGAGAGGGCTGTAAAGCGGTGTATAAGTCCTAAGTGCTGTTTCTAGTGCTACACCCATTATTCACGATCGGGTTAAGTGACCGTGACAGGCTTTTCCCAGAGGGACCTCAAAAATTATACACAAACCTTCAGACAGGTCGGCATGAACATGCTTTGTAACGAGTGCAAGTTAGCACCAAGTCTGTTTGCATCACTAACATTACTGATGTTAACCTAGTTTAGGCAGTGACACATCTGCCAGGAAACAACCGAGTTTGGAAAGCACCAAGGACCCCTCATTTTAACCCTGAGCTACAAATATTCTCCTTTACTGGCAAGCCTGTTTTGTCTCTTTGACCAGCAAGCCCCCTCCCCTAGGTTTCTGGAAGGTCAACCTGCCCCCCCCTCCTATAACCATGGTCTTGAAGTTGGTGATCTATGCTTCTAAAACAGTGGTTCTTAACCTGTGGGTTGGGACCCCATTTGGGGTCGATCGACCATTTCACGGGGGTCGCCAAGCAAGGCTGTCCGCCATTTTTCCCCCCTTTTCCGGCGGGTGCCTTACTTCCCTTGGGCTGGGCCAGCTGGTGGTCGGCCTGCTCCGTCTCTGCCGCTTGCCAACTACGCCTCAGCCGGCGCAGGGGGCGGAACCACGCATGCGCAGCACTCCCGGGCAGGGAAAGTCCTCGACTTAACGACCGGTTTAGTCTTCGACTTACGACCGGTTTAGTCCTCGACTTACGACCGGTTGGGGTCGCGGCATTAAAAAGGTTGAGAACCACTGTTCTAAAATGAGACACAGACCCCCCCCCCGGGGTAAAACATGTCCCAAATAGGAGACCCATTGCTGAAATTCTGCCGCCTTTTCTGTGCTGTTGGTGCTGGATGATGGGCTTTGTATGTGCAGTAGAAACGGCCGGTTTTCCTCCGTTCAGGCATTACGTGACCTTGAACGTCATCTGTTGTGTTCCTCGGTCCCTGTTCCCTTCTTCCGGCTATGCTTCCGTCCTGTTGTACTGCAATGGCTCGCCTTGCTGTCCTTTGATTGTTGCCGGGCGCTACAGCTGGAATATGCAGTGGTATATTTAATTCTTTGAAATGAAACCTGTGAGACGGGAGCAGAGAATTAATGTTTTGGCTCTGGCAGGGAGACAGTCCAGGCTGCCCCTGCTAGCTCATTCCTTGAGAACTGCACTTTCAAGTGATGCCTTGACCTATGGGAAGGGAACCGTTGCTGGGATTTTGCCCCATCCAATGCCCTGCGCCCCTTCAGGTACGTCGCTTTTTCAGAGCATCTGGTTTATGCCTTCAGCCACCACCGGCCAAACTCGTGGCGCGTCAGCCAAACGTTTTGTACCTTTACCGGTAAACTTGCTGAGCAGCCAATCAGATACGAGATAAAGAACGAGTTTTTGGCAAAGGTTGGAACGGTGAGGGCGGCGATGGGGTGGGGGTCATTTTTCATCTGAATCCATCCATAGACCATCTTCGGCTCATTTGTCTTCAATGTACATATGTTTCTCTTCCTCCTCCTCCTCTTCTTCCTCCTCCTCCTCCTCAATTCCCCTCTCCTTTCTAGGTCTTCTGGCTGGATTGTCCTCCAGCCTCCATCAGGCAGCGCCGCCTGCCCATTTATCCCACAGCTTGCCAGGTAACTCCTCCAATTGCTCTTGTTTGGTTTCTGAGTCATTCAACGGGCACCTCCCGGGACAGCTGCCAGCTTTGCCTGCCCTTCGCGAATTATTATTTGTTTAGCATAGGCCAGTGATGGCAAACCTTTTAGAGACCGAGTGCCCAAACTGCAACCCCAAACCCACTTATGCATCGTCGGGTCCCGGGTGGGTGTGGTCCATTGGGTGGGTGTGGCCCATTGGGTGGGCGTGGCTGCGGTGGTAACGGCAGACTGGGTGGGACTAAAAAGTTCAATCAATCAATTCCAACTTTGCAAGATCTTTTTTTTCCCCACGAGAAGTTGAAATTGATTGATTGAACCTTTTTTTTTTTTTTTTTTTGCACACGGTGGCGGAGGCCTAAAGCGAAAAGGTTTTATAAAACCCAGCTGAAGGCCTAGGACTGGGGCGACGGCACGTGTGCCCACAGAAAGGGCTCTGAGTGCCACCTTTGGCACCCGTGCCATAGGTTCGCCACCACTGGCATAAGCCATATCGTACATGGACTAGCAATATAATGTATATTGACATTTTATCTCAGTAGAACCGAATAGAATATAAATGTTAAAAAGATCTATGTTCAGATAACAATGTCTAGGCCAGTGGTTCTCAGCCTGTGGTCCTCGGACCCCTTGTCACAGGGAGTCCACAAAGGCTCGAAGAAACGTTATGATTTAAATTTTGAGCTAACTCTTGGGGGGGTCCTGGTCCATGGCCACAAAAGGTATTTAAAGGGGGTCCATGGTGAAGGAAAGGTTGAGAACCACAGGTCTAGGCCATCTAACCTTCATTTGTATTAAAAAAAATAATCAGATATTGGACCGGTAGATGCCCCCGGCTTACAGCCAGTTACAATGTGATCTACAGTTTGGTGTAGGACCCCACAGTCCCACTGAGGGGAGGATATTATGCCCCATTTATACCGAGAGCCCCAACCGACACCATGTGAGGGGTGAATCCTATTCAGGATTGTCCATTGCTGGCCGGAGTAGTTCAAAGCCTGTCACTGTTTTTGGGTGGGGTCATTCATATGTCTTCCTACCTCTGGGCGTCCAGGGACTCGGTTGGGTTTCTGTTGGGAACCGATGTTAAAGTTGTTGGGCAGATGTTGTGCAAGTGCCAGTGGGCTCTTCCTGGATTTGAGTCTTCCAGCTGATAAATGGGAAAGGTTGGCATACGCCGGTAGAAGTGAGTTATTCACAATTTTTCCATATTCACGAATTATAAACCCCAGGCTACTACATCTCTCCAAAAGCAGCGGGCCTGGATCCCACCAGCGGAATCTCTTTCTCCTGGAAGCTGAGCTTCTCCGTACAAATTCCACATTATCCCATTCCAATTATCGGATGCACTTCTCCCTTTGTGATGCCGGAGGGTGGATTAATTAACATCATTAAAGTCTGACTTGATTATTGCCTCTGAGTATAGACAGACTTAGTTACGTATTTTAGTCAGAGATCCTAAGTGATTGGATTGGTTTTTTTTTTTTACAACAGTCGTAAAGTGAACGAGCGTGGTCATTAAGCAAATCACAGCGTTAAGCGAATTATCTGAATGTACATTTGAATCCAATTTATCCAATGGGCTTTTTTTTTCTGGAAAATGGCAAAAAAAAAAAAGTCATAGCACATGGTCACATAACCGCAAGACACTGCAATCAGACTTAAATGTCTAGTTGCCAACTAGCTAAAATGTGATCATGTGGTGTAATAGTCATAACTTTGAGGACATGTCATGAGTAATTTTTTTCCTGATGCCATCATAACTTTGACCCGGTCCTTAAGCAATTGGTAATAAGTCAAGGACCATCTGTATTGTGTGCTCACTGTTATAGCAGATTTAATTAGTGACCTTGATTTGTTTCTGTTATTAAATGTATTGTTGTGCCCTTTTATGTTTTTAGCTCTTTGGGAATTACCAGGTCAGTCGGTTGGTTTTATTTAACTCGATATTGTCTACAAAAACTGACAATCGCAAGATTTCACAGAAGAATTGAAAAAAAAACCAAACACTTATTGCTCTACCACTGATCTATAGAGGTTTTACTGTTTAAAGCAGGTCTAAAGAAGACAATTCTTGTTGCCTTTATGTGCACGAATCCTAAGCACAAAAAAAATCCTTTGTGTTGGTGAATTCCAGTAGTGTCTTTAAAGACTCTTCATTCCCTGAGTCCTGCTTTCCTTTTTATGATTTTTTTTTTATCCAGCTGTTGTTGAAATGAATGAGAAGCTGTGGTGGTTAAGCTAGAGAGGATATTTATTGGACCACAGCCCAGTAACAAGATCAATAATATTTTCTGATGTTTGAGCTGGGCAAGTCTCTGGAATGCTTGCTTTTTGTTTTGCCAAAGCAACTTCTGCAGTGTAAAATTTTCCTTGCAAAACATGAAGTGGCACTCAGGACTGGTTGTGTTAGTTTTTTTTTATTTGTGGCAAGGTCTTCTTTTATTATTATTAGAATAATAATAATGGATTGTAGAGATGGGGGGGGGTTAGCTGGGCCTCTTTTGAGTTTGATGTCGATGTGATCAATTGCATTATCCTGTGGTTATTTTTTTGTATAAAGTTTCATTTATGAAGCCACCCAGAATTGTTCCGGAGTCGGACAGTCTAAAAATGTGGGGGCCTTTGGTGCTCTTGGAGCTTGGTTGTTTTCTTACATTATTTCATTACCCAAACTAGGTAACATCATCGGTGCTAGTCGTGCTATCTCGTTTGGGTAATGAAATGCTAGTCACACTAGCACTGATGATGTTACCTAGTTGGGTCATGAAACGTCGACAAGAAAACCACCAAGCTCAGAGAGCACCAAGGACCCCACAGTCGTCCTCCTCTTCCTCCTCTCCCCTCTAGCACTGATGATGTTATCTAGTTGGGTCATGAAACGTTGGCAAGAAAACCACCAAGCTCAGAGAGCACCAAGGACCCCACAGTTCAACCCTGACTTATAAATATTCTTTATTAATCTAAAAATGTATTTATTCGGCCAATCAGCCAGTTCTGCCTGATCTTTCCCATGTAATCTACGGTATTCTGCCACAATAGGGAAGATAGAGTTTATAAATAAATTAAATAACCTCTCCCTGCCCCCACCTGCCTCTAGTATGGTACCAATCACACGGCAAATGTGCTTTACACACTAGTAACATAATAGAGGATGTCTCGGTTAAGACAAACCCAATCGCCTATCCTGTTCATGGGTATTATTTTTCCCCCCCCCGATGCAGAACATTTTGGCTGGACATCATAATTCCCTCCTGCCCTGTGACTCCGTATTCTTGAAAGAAGTCAAAACTGTGATTGAGTATCTTTAATAACTTAAGACTTCGGAGCTTCGCTGCCATGTAGATTATTTTTTTTCCAAACAATTTTTATTAGTTTTCCATTTTACACCAACACAGCTTAAGAACCCACATGGAAACATGGTGATCCATTTTTAAAACAAACAAACAATAACATAGTAAATATATACCCATTATTTCTTAAAAATTTCCCTCTCTATCTATATAGAATATTATAATCAAATTAATACATTTTCAAATGAATTCATTCATTACTATGTCTAACCATCAACTGTATTAATCAATAAAAAAAATTTAATCTATAAAAACCTATTGTCAAAGCAAGAATATACAGTATTTCTTCACACATTTAAACTTAAGCTCAATGGACGCTGCCATGTAGATTGATGACCTTTTGTTTTGTGTCTCTTTCAGATAGCTCTCAGCTACACAGCAAAGGGCCCAATGTGCAACCGCGGAAATTGTGACAATTCTGAAGAAGAAGACGAAGAAAAAAAAAAGAACACAACCAGCTCTGGGAAAAAGCCTGCAGAATGCAGCAAGGGAGCCCCCCCATGGCTTCCTTGCTCTTCCTTCTTCGGTGGGATCGATCTGTAGGTTCCCCCTCTTCCCCTTATCCCAGTTTGGACTAAGATTCTTCCCGGGGTGGGGTAGGGGTAGGGGTTGGGTGGGGGGTCTGAGATGGATGCTGAAAAAGGAAGCATTTCGCAGGCCCAACGCTCACTTCAGCTCCTCCAGGGTCCAGATCCGGGGGAGGCGAGATCCTTAACAGATCTCCAGAAGCCCAGGTCCTTGCGTTCCTGCCAGGTGCCTCTTAATTCTGCAACGGATTCTGGGAAGGCCCTCGCTTCTGCGCGTGGAAATACCGGCTGATCGAAGCTCAGCCGAGAGTGAATCCGTGGGGTGGGCTTCTCCTCCCTGATGGCCCCCTTTCATAAAGCTTTGCTGGTCCTTCCCTCCCTGGAAGATCTTTCCTTCTCTGTGGCAGCTCGCCGGTCCTCTCAGAAGGAAGTCAAGACTTGAGGGGCTTCAAGATGCACTCATGGACCTTGAATGCCGTGGGGGGCTCTTACGGCAGTTCCCTTTCCTCGACACGCTCAATTTCCCTTCCTCCCCTTCTCTCCACTGAACACATCGGACGGGACTAAGCCCCCCCCCCTTTCCTCCCCCCCCCCGGGTCAATGTGTATAACGAAGCTGTCATTTCAGTGCCTTTTGATGGTGGAGCCAGAACGCAAGCTATCCCAAGCTCTCGGGCGGGAGCTCGCCAGAGCTTTTTAACGTTCTCCTTTTTTAAACACCCTTCTCTGTTATTTAAGACGCACCGGGGTTTATTTAAGGGGACTTGGGGAGGTGGGGTGAGTGTGTGGGTGGGTGGGGTGGCGTGGGGTGGGGGGTGGCCCGTCATCATCCCCATTTTAACTGCGCTCGCTGGTGAATGCCACACTGGCACCTGGCATGGGCATTCCTCGGAAAGCTGGCGGTTCTCTGCCAGAGTTCTCTCAAGCATTTCGCAAATAAGAGCCAAGGTAGGAACTTCCTCTTTTGCTGTGAGATCTGTCACAGTTCAAGCATCCAGTGACCTGATGGGGTGGCACATTTGCTCACAGGAGTTGCTTGTTGGAGCAGCTAGAAGAGCTTTTCGTACGCTCTGAACGGAAGGGAGACGCCGAGAATCCATTTCAGGACTTAAAAAGTAGATTCCCCCCCCCCCTTTCTTTGAAAACCAACCAGGGCTGCCAGTTGCCCTGCCTTGGTTATGCTTTGGTGCTGTGCTAAAGGTTTGGGGGCAGATCCTCCTAATCTTAACGCAGCATCTGGTCTGGAGGTTACTTTGGAGAAAAGGCGATGACCCAAATTTTTGGTTTGGCTTGGCCTTGACGCTGTTCGATTCTCCAAACCGCTGCACCTTCTGGAGAAACAAGTGCTTTGCGAGAGGAGAAAAGTAACAGTTCAGGCATCAATTATCCCATTTTTTTGGGGGGGGGGAGCAAAACCACGCTTGAGTAGTCAGTACAAGACACATTAAACTAGTAGGGCGGTTAGTCGCTGCTCTTTAGCCAGAATTGCAAGGGGTTTTTTTTTGTTTGTTTGGGTTTTTTTTTTTTTTTTTTTTTTTTTTTTTTTTTTTTTTTTTTTTTTGGCAAACTCCCGAACTCAACTCGAAAGCTTGTCAGCCCAACTTGAGGTCTATTTGCGGCCAGTTTTTTTTCTCGCAGAATCTTCTTCCATCTTTAACCCCAATTTACTGATTCTTCCACTCAAACAAGAGGAAGCACTTGATCTATCGATTAGTTGAACCCATTTATTTTTTTTAAAAAGCACCACGAGTTCTGTTTAATTTGAGACACGCACCCCTTCAGTTTAGAAAAACAAGTTCTTTTCTTTCAGCTATTTGAGGATTCTTGGTTAACCTGTGCAAAATTGTTTCGAGTCTTTTGCATTTGTTTTTCCCTCTTTTCTTTTCCCAAAAGTTTACTTTGGGCCTCATTGGCCACAGTTACTTCTGTTTAAAAAGTTGCAGCAGAAGAGCCAAAGACTGCATGCATTTTTAAGGTTGCCCATTTTTCGAAGCGCATCTTTTCCCCCCCCCCCCCTTTAAGTACATGGATTTTGGTGGTGGTGGTGGGGGTTTGTTTTTCGGTCAGAGCTCAGTCCTACTCTCTGTTAATTACCTCTCAAAAAAGCTGCTTTTATCAGTCATAGGAACAAGTGTTTGGCACTTGGCAGAATTTGGGCCTTGCATGAGCCATTACGCCTCCCCCTCCTCGCTCTTCTCCCCAAAGCTTTTGGTCGCTGTGTGTACTGGTGCCCGCCATAGCTGGAGCAGAACCCCTTGTCTGTTTAAAAAAAAAAAAAAAGGAAATGTTCACAAAGCCTCTTGCCTCAGGGAAATGTTATGTGGTGGAACTTCTGCCCAATCTCTCCCCTTCCTGCTTTCTTCCCTTCCCCCTTTCCTTTGTGTTTTTAAGAAGTAGAACTTAAAAAGCGAGCCATGGCAGGGCAGGATCGAAGAGCGGTGGGCGAGCAAGCGGGCGGGCAGTGCAACGGAGCTGCTGCCCGCCGAGGAGCGTGTCTACCTTGGCTTCAACTAATTGGGGGAGATTTTGTTTACGGCGGGCATAAGCACCGCCAGATGGCACTTAAACAAATAATTAAAAAGCAGTCTCTTTTGTGTGCAGAAAGAGCTGCGATTTATTTTTGTGTGTTTGGGAGAAGGGCGGGGCTGCTGGGGGAAAAGGCAGCCTTTCTAGGAAATGAGGAGGGTGGCGGTGACGTGGAAAAGGATTAATCTTGTATACTGCAACTGAAATAAAAATTGGTTTGTTTTTTTTTTCCAGAACATTTTTCATTTACTCCAAAAGGAGGGTTGGGGAAAGGGGCGGTCTATTGAAGGGCAGGGCTACCCACATGAAAGGCAAAACTCCTTGGCATCGTCGCTGAAAGATGGATGAGATGTCAGGTGTAAGGTTTTAGAACAGTGATGGCGAACCTTTTAGAGACCGAGTGCCCAAAAACCACCCTGGCCCCCATCCCGCGCCCCACCTGCCTGCAGGGCCATCCACCGCCTCCACGGCCCGCTGCAGCAAATCGCCCAGGTGGCCCAGCAGCGCCATGGCCACACCCTCTACCCACGCTCTGCAGCATCATCTGCGCATGATGGTGCACGAGGGCGGAGTCCCCGCTACCTGGCTGCCATGTCCTTGGCTGTGGTGCTCTGCCCGGGCAGCGCCCAGAGACAATTCTCTGGGGGGGCTGCTGGTGAGGGGGCTGTGGGGGAGGCAGGGCTGGGGCGACGGCACACATGCCCACAGAGAGGGCTCTGAGTGCCGCCTCTGGCACACGTGCCATAGGTTCGCCACCACTGTCCTAGAAACTGCCATCTGCAGGGAAAGAGTCCTGATAGCTTTAGCATTCCCCAGCTTCGGGGATGGATAGATGGATGGTGTGGGTGGATGGATGGATGGATATGAACATGGATGGCTGCATGAATGGATGGATAAGGACGAATGGCTGGATCTCAACTCCCAGAATTTGCCAGCCAGCAAGGTCTTTGCTGAAAATTCTGGGAGTTAGAAGTCTGCAGATCTGGCAGGTACCAAAGTTAGAATCACACAGCTCTAGGTGTTTATGGAGTTCCTCAATCATCCAGGTCATGGTTGTCTCCAAGGTGCTTTTCCAAAAGGCAACTGGACTTTCTTGGGTTTTCCTTTGAAAATGTTTTGCTTCTCATCCAAGAAGCTTCTTAAGTTTCTTGGATGAGAAACGAAACATTTTCAATGAGGAAAAAAAGAAAGAAGTCCAGTTGTCTTTTGGAAAAGCACCCTTCAGACACAGCTGTAGGTGCATGGAGTTTAGCTTCCAGCTTAGCAATTGTTGAAAATTCTTCCGTGCCTACATGTCCTGCAGACATACATGGAAAAGGCAGGATTGTAGTTAACACATGAAAATTTGGGGGGAGTTGTAGAGGGTTGACAGAAAGGCCCGCAAGTTGGTAGCTATGCTGAAGACCAAAATTAGGGATAGTTGTAGAAAAACACATTTGGAGTCTGCAGTCTGCACCTCTTGTGCCTGTTGGTATATATTTTGCAAAGTGGCACCTAGGGCCACATTGATGGACTCCTGAAGTTTCATTCTTATCAGTCCTGGTGTCCTTCAATCTGATTCTGGAATCACAGTGGTCAATGACCCTCCCGGAAAAGAATCGGCTTAATTTATGGCAATGAAAGGCTAATATTCTCAAACTGCCCTGTTTCTGCATCTGCCTTGCATTGCTATATGCCTCTTCAGGGTTTCCATGAAAATGTCAAAAGAATGCCATAGAACATAGAATATCATGAGAGTTGGAATTATCTGGTCTAACCCCCTGCTCTAGCAGGATATCCTATACCATTACAAATGGCTGTCCAATCTCTTCTTGAAAGCCTCCTGTGATGGAGCATCCACAACTTCTGAAGACAAGCCATTCCACTGGTTAATTGTTCTCACTGTTAGGAAATTTCTCCTTAGTTCTAGGTTGCTTCTCTCCTTGGTTAGTTTCCATCTATTGCTTCTTGTCCTGCCTTCAAGTGCTTTGGAAAATAAGTGGACCCCCCTCTTCTTTGGAACACTGCTACATGTTGCCCTTAGTCCTTTTCACTAGACTAGACATACTCAATTCCATCTTCTGTGTCTTTTTGTATACAACTGTACGAATTCAGTGCCTATAATTTTCATTTATTGACAGAAAGGCAAAGGTTTTAAAGAACCATTAACTTGGATTACTTCTTTATTATAACTGAAGAGTATAAATAACTTTTCCCATTTCCCTTCTCCAACAAATAACTTGAATACATACAGTCAAATATAAGTAAGCAAAACAGTGCATGCATCTTACAAGTGAGACTTTGGGGAAAATAAAGGCACTTGGATTTGGTAATAGTTCTCTATTAAATCTCCCCTTTTTCAAAGGATTAGAGCCATCTCTACATAATCTGAGC